TTGATTATTTTCAAGGATAATACAGACATTGTCCTGACCATGTCTCCTGATTAAGTTTTATCTGAAGTCTCAGATCCATTCTAATAACTAAAACTTAGTGGTCATAACTGAGACCCAAAGCAAAATGAGAAGCTGGTCAAGAGACCCACCTGGGAGGGCATGTTCTTAAAATCCCACAGGAGAGCAGAGTCATTCACCTCCATATCCTGCACATACAACAACATTAGCCACAAGCAAATATCCACACAGCCACAACCCAAGAGGAAGAAAAATGTTTATTTTAAAATGAAGAGGACTTGTCACAGTGTTTTAAAGGACTAGCTGATGAGGCATTCAAAAATTGATAAAGTATATATATCAGTGCCATTACCCCTGAACACTGGTGTGAACTTGAAACACTTGTTTTAGCCAAAACTCAGGAGGCAGTTAGGAGAGAAGGACGTTGAAGAACTTTGAGAAATGGAGACCTTTCTCCTTGGAAAGCTGTGTCACTACAAACGGGACTCCAACTTTTCCAAGACATGCAAACACCAGGCTGGGTGCAGTGGCTCATGCCCCTCATCCCAGCATTTTGGGAGGCACAGGCGGGCGGGTTTCCTGAGGCCAGGAGTTCGAGACCAGCCTGGGCAACATGGCAAAACCCCATCTCTACTAAAATATAAAAATTAGCCGGGCATGATGGTGCACACCTGCAATACCAGCTATTTGGCTGAGGCTTGAGAATCCATTGAACCCGGGAGGCGGAGGTTGCGGTAAGCTGAGATCACACCACTGCGCTCTAGCCCGGGCGACAAAGCGAGACCCTGTCTCCAGAAAAAAAAAAAAAAAAAAAAGAAAGAAAAGAAGAGCAAACACCACTCTCCAGATTCAGACATTAATGTGGTTACAGATAAGCACTTAATAGATGAATGCTAATGCACCTTTAATGACCTTTTCCCTCAGAATTTGCCTCCCTAAAAACAAAAACATATTTACTTACAACATAGTAAGGCATGATTTCCCGAACTGAGAAAACAATGTAATAAATCTCATAAAAACCTATAACTGGATTAAGAAACTAAAAACTTTCATGATCCTAGACATTAGGGGAAAAAAGGCACAATACTGAAGAAAACTTCAATAAAAAAATACAAAATATTGAAAAAAAATGTGCTTCTAAAAAGTAGCTTTCAATGCAAGCACTTGACCTCATCTCATCCCAGAGCTTTCCTGGAGATGAAATTGCACAGCACACAAAGAATGGAGAGGCCACCAGCTCCAACCCAAGCAGACCTCAAATCCTTAACAACAGCATGAAATTACCACAATTGCACTCACTTTCAGCATTAGTTTTGAAGACAGTTGTGCTGTGTGTGAATAGTTTAATATTTGGAGATTTTATGCCTTTTTGGTCTTGGATATAATTAGAGGGAGATGAGGGATTTCCATTATGGAAAAGATATTGGATTTGACTACATACAAATTAAATAAACAGAGAGAAGTCTGAGCAAGCCAAAAAAGTCTGACCAGCAAAGTTAATCGGCAAATGGTAAACTAGTAAGAGTATCTGCAGTATGTCAATGGAAAGGTTAGGATCACTAATATATAGAAATAGACAGGTGGTTACCAGTGTCTGTGGAGGAGGGAGGAGGAATTTGTGTTTAGTAGCTATAGAGTTTCAGTGTTAAAAGATGAAAAAGTTCTGGACTCAGCAATGAGAAAATACTTAACATTACTAAACTATACACTTAAAATGGTTAAGATGGTAGCTTGAATGTTATATGATTTCTACCATAATAAAAAAAAGATTTATAACAAAGCTATAAGAAGAAATTGAATTCCCAATGGGAAAAGAAAATGGGCAAAAACCAAATGCTTAATAGGAAATAAACATGTCATCTAAGAAGGGCAAATTAAAGCAACATTGAGATGTACTTTTTGCTCAATAAATTGTCTGTTTTCTAAATTTTAATATTTCATGTTAGAGGAAGTTGCAGGAAAATGAGTATCATTACACATAGCAGGCGGAATTTTAAATTGGTTAAGCTTTCTGGAAGGCAGTTTGGCAAACATTATAGAAAAAGTAATACAATATTGTATATCCTTTGATTTGAATTTATTTCTAAAAGTTGACCTGAAAGAGTTCATTAAAAATGTGTGCAAAGATTTTTGTACAAAAATATAGACCATAGGTTATTTTATAACAAAAAAGCCCTTAATTTTTTTTTTTTTTTTTTGAGACAGAGTCTCACTCTGTCTCCCAGGCTGGAGTGCAGTGGCACGATCTTGGCTCACTGCAAGCTCTGCCTCCCGGGTTCACGCCATTCTCCTGCCTCAGCCTCCCCAGCAACTGGGACTACAGGTGCCCGCCACCTCACCTGGCTACTTTTTTTTTTTTTTGTATTTTTAGCAGAGATGGGGTTTCACCGTGTTAGTCAGGATGGTCTCGATCTCCTGACCTCGTGATCCACCCGCCCCGTGATCCACTCCTCCCAAAGTGCTGGGATTACAGGCGTGAGCCACCGTGCCTGGCCAAAAGCTCTTAAATTTTAAGCTTGTGTGGTAGTGTCATGGAGATATACCGGGAATTTTTGTTTGGGCCTAAAGCTAGGAGACAGCTTTTATTCGTGTGTTTTCTTCACACCTGTATGCAATGCATCCGGAAGTCTTGTCTTCTAAGGTGGATGCTGCTGCTCCACTGCTGTTATCTCAGCCAGGACAGCGCCAGACATTTCCCCAGGTGCACTCCCTTCTCCCACTGCTGCATGCTTGCAGCGGGGCATCTGGCTCCTGGAATAGCTCGCTCTGTCCAGCCTCCCTTGCAGCTAGATGTCAGCACTTGGTGGAGCTCCCAGGCTGATGGGGTGGGAGCAGAGGTAGGGTGCTCGGGAAGGAGAGAAGCACACTCTCCCCTTTTCCACTTATAAAATATATTATAAAAATTTATAGGCTGGGTATGGTGGCTCATGCCTGTAATTCCAGCACTTTTGGGAAACTGAGGCAGGTGGATCACCTTAGGTCAGGAGTTCAAGACCAGCCTGGCTAACATGGTGAAATCCCATCTCTACTAAAAATACAAAAATTAGCTGGGCATGTTGGCAGGTGCCTGTAATCCCAGCTACTCAGGAGGCTGAGGCAGGAGAATCACTTGAACCTGGGGGGCAGAGGCTGCAGTGAGCTGAGATTGCGCCACTGCACTCCAGCCTGGGCGACAGAGTGAAACTCTGTCTCACAAAAAAAGAAAAATAAATAATAAACAAATTTTTAAAGTAATACAATATACGATATTGTATTACCTTTTAAATAATATTTGCCAAACTGACTTCCAGAAAGCTTAACAAATATAAAATTCCACCTGCTTTGTGTAATGATTTCCATTTTCCTGCAGCTTCATCAACATGGAATGTGAAAATTTAGAAAATAGCTGTAACGTGGGTATGGTTGTCATTAATTTGGAGTAAGAGTGATTAGGTCAATGTCTTTGGGGTTACTCAAAGCAACAGGATGGAAAGAGGCCACACCCTGACCTGCCGGAGCCACCTTATGAGTCCCAGGCTGCTGAAATTTACACAGGATGTCGAGAGCCAAGTAAACATCAAGCTCTGTAGGTCGGCATTATAAGGTCTTTTTTTTTTCTTTCCAGAAGCCAGAATACAGTCTCTTAATGCTCTCTTACCCTCTTGAATTCATTCTCCATGTACAGCCACACTGATCTTCTGAAAACGTAAGTCAGTCCATGTGGCTCCCCTGCAGACCCCTCACGGGGGCTTCCCACTGCACGCAACAATCCAACTCCTCAGGCTGGCTTCCAAGCTCCCCGGAGACTAAACTCAACTCACTCACCGCCCCCCGTCCAGGCAGGCTGGCTTTCCTCCTTTTCTCTTCTGTTTTAGGAATGTGTGGCATCAATCAATCAATCAATGAATCAATCAATGGATGCATGGATCTAACATTTCTTTCACATATCTCTCAATAAAGACAGAATGAACAAAAGCAAAGTAATTTAATAATGGCAACCACATCCCTTGCATGACAACACTCTTTCACCAAACAAGTCAAGGTTAAAATAAGGCACCTTGCTCTGGGAAGAGTCAGAACACTCCCAGTACAAAAGGTTGATCAGACAGGACTCTGGCTCTCCACTTAGTTCCAGAGGAAGCCGCTCAGAGCCCATTGCTAACAACTCAGCCCACCGTGTTTCATTTTGTTTTGTTTTGAGATGAAGTCTCCGTCTGTCACTTAGGCTGGCTCTGTCACCTCCACCTCCCGGGTTCAAGCCTTTCTCCTTGCCATTCCCTCAACGCTCAAGCGTTGCTACAGAACCGCTAAGAGTCCAAAGCAAAAGGCACGACCGTCTCACACAAAATAATAACCAGGGATGCTCAGTGCCTCTCAAATAAAACAGTAGGAGCCCTTGTCAACTACAGTAACCCAAACACCTTTACATTTCCTAATGAACAACAAACACAGTAACCAGTTTAGTGTCACCAGGCAGCTGTCCAGTTGCCTTGTATTGAAGAACTGATTTCTGGTGTTCTTTCAGCATGGCATAAGAACACTGGTCAATATTGTCTAACTGGTGGTCTGGGGGACCAGGCAGGTGTTTGACAAATGTCTCAGCACATTTCATTCCTATACTTGATCTACATGGACTCCACAGCTGTGTGGGTTCGAGATCCACAGGTGTCTACATCATAAGCTACAAACACATCTATCAAAGTCATTAACAATTTTCACACAATAGCAGACCCAAATCTAATACCTGGAGGTTATTTTCTAAATAATATGTTAAGAAAATTGTTTTATAGATAGATAGATACATAGATCGATCGACTGATACACACACACACACTCACACACACACACACAACAATCAGCTATTGGCAGTCAACTTTGTGGTTTCATTTCTCCCTGTCCTGGTTCTTGGCTCCTCCACTTTTCCCCACCCAGCCTGGGTCACCGTACGGCGCCTTCCCCTCCCCCGAGTTCAGTCCTAACAGCCCAAGGCGGGGCTTGCTTACCATAGCCAGTGGCACAACTCCAATCAAGTCCTTTGGGCTCACATAGATCTTCGACACTCCTAAGTCAGACGTGATCTCTCCGGGGTACTCGACCTGCCACGTGACCAGCTGTGTGGCTGGCAGGTCACTGGGCTCTTCCACCTCCACGTCGATCTGCATGACCTCGTAGGAGGCGCCATCCGCACTGGAAAGAAGACACAGAGGAGAGCAGCTTTCAGGTACTGATGAGGCATAGCATGCTTGGCAGAGAGTGGGCAGCCCTTGGCCATTTCTCCATGTACCTCCACACGGAATCAAGTGCACACATCTCTGCAAAGAGCATTCAGAGACGCCATTCCAAAATGAACAAAGGAGCTTTAATATGCTCTGCAGCATTTGCCTGGTCTTAGATACTATCACTCCAGGTTCCAAAGTCCTTCCGTCTGTGGGCTGCTCAGCTGCCCCAGAGTGGGTATTTGTGGATAATTACAGGAAATAGTGATTGCATTTCTTAAACGCTTCCTTTCCCATTCTCCATTTAGGGGAACACGTTTCCTCACTCTCACAAATGTCTATGCAACTTCTATTGGATTTTCCAAAGCCACAGCCAGATTGAGTTGGGTACACAGAATTTTAAGGATGTCTGAGGGTGACACGGTTCTGTTATCTGGCAATGGTAAGACAGAATTGCAGAGAAACAGGCAAGGTGTGCACAACAAAGCAGGGTGAAGGGGGACGCTGTGATGAGCATGGAGAAGTCGCCAGATACTACATGGTGATGGGAGTCACTGAGACAAAGACTGGTTGCTAGACACTCAATTTTCCTATAAGCATGCATCTAGAAACAAATCCACCTAGGACTTTCTGGATTATTTTTACAGCTATTTAAGTAATTAATTAGCTGGCTGCCTCATCATAGTGATTTTTGGTATAATGTCTGCTCTTCTATGTGACAGGTAGAAAAATGTAGATTTAGTGCCTGCCTTTGCCTGAAGAGGAAACGAACAGGGTGTAGGTGAGAATGAACAGAGGAACCCGCTGAGAGAGGTGCATTTTAAAGCCTCAGTGGACAAACAACGTCTACCTGTCAGATCTATTTCTAAAAGATTTGAATTTAAACCTTTGAGAAATGATCATTGAACTCTGACATTTAGGAGAATAAGGTTTGTTCTTTTATATGTGACAAAGCTGTTGACATTTTTTATCACACCATCAAACTCACCCAAGTTTATCAGTAAGAAGCTCCGAGATAAATGGTGGGGCTTCCAGGGAGCCTTGTTCTCAATGGGAGGATGAGATGGAAAACTAGAATATCAGGGGAGATTCTAATGAACAGAGAAGGAGGGAGAGAGAGAAAGGAGGAGGGAGGGAGAAATGGAAAGAGAGAGAGAAGTAGAAAGAAAGGAAAGGTGAAAGCGATCACTTGAGGTCGGGAGTTCGAGACCAGCTTGGCCAACAGGGCAAAACTCTATCTCTACTAATAATAAAAAAAATAGCTGGGTGTGGTGGCATGTGCCTATAATCTCAGCTACTCGGGAGGCTGAGGCATGAGAATTGCTTGAACTTGGGAGGCAGAGGTTGTGGTGAGCTGGGATCACACCACTGCACTCCAGCCTGGGCGACAGAATGAAAATAGGTCTCCAAAAAAAAAAAAAAAAAAGAAACGAAAAGAAAAGAAAAAGAAAGATAGAAGAAGAGGAAGGGGAGGGAGAAAAAAAGAGGAGAGGAAGGAGGGGGCCAGAGAAATGAGATGAGAAGAACTGCCAAAAGAAAGAACCCCAATTGCAGAGATCAGCCTTCCGCTTAAGCAGCCATCTCTTCCATGGAACGGGATAGCTGCAATGGGCTATGAGTAATGATGGGGAAAAGATGACGGCTGGTTTTTGAATCCTACAAAATGCCCTCCCTCTTGGCTCCTGAAAAAAAGTTGTTTAACTCTTTGAGAAGCAGCTGGTTTGATAAAAATCGTCAACAAATCCCCTAGGCCACGGTGGGCTTTTTTCTCCCACACCTTTCTTTTCATAAGAAAAGGATGCCACTGTCTCTTTGAAGCCCCTGACTGGCATTTCTACTCACATCTAGAGGGAACTTGGAATTAAGATGCTAGAATGCATCTTTGTTTTTGTATTTGAACTTGATAAGAATTTTGGTATGACTTTCCCGTTGATGAAATGGGATAACCTCCATCTTGTCTGTGTTGGGCCTCGCCTTCTGTTTTTAATCATGAGAAAAGGAATTTATAGAACAGAATTAACATTACTTGCATTTGAGCCATGTGAACACCTGCATGAGTGTAGTTCACTGTCCACAATAACTGCTTATATGTCCACATCACGTTCTACCCCTATTTCCTTCCAGGTTCCTTGACCTCAAATAAAAACCGACAAACCTTGCCTGCACTGGAATACTGGACGCCTCCCACCCCACAGCCCCATACTTCTGTTTTTAGTGTTTGTTTTATCAGAAAAACCTTATAAATCTCTTCATATATGTAAGTTCTTGCCATCCTAGAAGACCCACCTATAATACCATTCCATAAATATAAGGTAAAAGTGCTCCATTTACTTCATCTAATTTTACTCTTCCTATAACCTTACATGATTGTTCTATACATTTAGATTTTCCCTTCTTCTTTACATCCTTTTCCTGGTCAAGATGTAAAAGCAACAATGTCTTTTTTCAGCCAACTGCCCTCTCTATGAAGTAGTGATGAAAATATTCTAAGTTGGGAATTCTTAACCCAGGACTATACCAACGTTCAGGAAGGTTGTACCTTGAACTTGTGGGGAAAACGCTGCATGCGTGTGATTTTGTGGAATGACTCCTTAGCTTGCATGAGTTCCCCAATAGTTCATCTACAGTAGGGCTGTGGACCGAGTTCCCGAGTTCCCCAACAGTTCATCTACAGTAGGGCTGTGGACCGAGTTCCCGAGTTCCCCAACAGTTCATCTACAGTAGGGCTGTGGACCGAGTTCCCGAGTTCCCCAACAGTTCATCTACAGTAGGGCTGTGGACCGAGTTCCCGAGTTCCCCAATAGTTCATCTACAGTAGGGCTGTGGACCGAGTTCCCGAGTTCCCCAATAGTTCATCTACAGTAGGGCTGTGGACCGAGTTCCCGAGTTCCCCAATAGTTCATCTACAGTAGGGCTGTGGACCGAGTTCCTGAGTTCTCCAATAGTTCATCTACAGTAGGGCTGTGGACCGAGTTCCTGAGTTCTCCAATAGTTCATCTACGGTAGGGTTGTGGACCGAGTTCCCGACAATTTCCTTTATAAATGCTGCACACAGTGATCTCGTTGGAATATCTCATCATGTGTATCTTAGTACAACAGTGGGAATTTGAATTTTAATGCCCCTTTGTAAATATTTAGCACTGAACAGCTTCCTAAACTCTTGCATAGTAGGCAATATTTATCACTTCTTCACGTTTTACTCTAAAGACAAGGACTGTGCCCTTGCAGTTTGTGTGTCTGACAGATGGTACATATCCTGAAAACAATGGTCATGTTTATCTTGTTGCCTTTTGTGCTTATAATAGAATGTAACTCCTGATATTCATCAGAAGGGAATCTGATGTATTATAGGAGATAAATACAGTCAGTAGAAGAGAAGTTTATAAAATATATCTGGTTAAAGCAGTGACTTTTCCACCTCCCATGCATTGAAATTGCCTGGGAACTTTACAAATAAAGCAATGTCCAGGCATCATCCTTACAGATTTCTGATTGTTCCTGAGTGGAGCCAGGGTCAAAGGTGTTTGAACCAGAGCAACTCCATCTTGAGTGAAGCTAGAAAATGAGGCTGGCCCTTGCTGGGCGGCAGTCCCAGAAAGTTAGGCATTCCTAGCATCTAGATGTTTACGGTTAAGGGAAGAAATTAATAATGTTTACTAAACAGACCCAGACTTGGGAGTGTCCAGATATCCCAAAATCTGGAGAAAAAAGACATTCCTAATTTTGCTTTACAGAAAATAATGTTGCCAGGCGTGGTGGCTCATTCCTGTAATCCCAGCACTTAGGGGAGTCTGAGATGGGTGGATCACTTGAGGTCAGGAGTTCAAGATCAGCTTGGTCAACATGGTGGAGCCTCACCTCTAAGAAAAAAAAAAAAAAAAAAACTAGCTGGGCGTGGTGGCATGTGCCTGTAATCCCAGCTACTGGGGAGGCTGAGGCAGGAGAATTGCTTGAACCCAGGAGGCAGAGGTTGCAATGAACTGAGATCGTACCACTGCACTCCAGCCTGGGTGACAGCAAGACCCTGTCTTAAAAAAATAAAGATAATAATATTGATTCTTATAAAACATAGTAATTAAGAAAATTAATCCTTTATCACAAACCCTTGTAGCAGAGCACATTTCTCCATATACACAAACATTGTACCCAGGGTGGACACCTTCCTCCTCTTACTTCCGCAATGTCCTACTCTGTCTATGGAGTAGCTGTCCTTTCGCCACTTTACTTTCTTAATAAACTTGCTTTTGCTTTGCACTTTGGACTTGCCCTGAATTCTTTCTTGCACGAGATCCAAGAACCCTGTCTTGGGGTCTGGATCAGAACCCCTTCCCTGTAACATATTTCTGGTGATCACAGATGGGACTACGGTGCAGAAACCCTGACCCAATGACTACCTTTGGATAAATGTTGGGGTCCTGTAACGTATTTCTGGCAAACCCCAAATGGATGATACTGAAGAGACCCCCGACCCAAAGGAAAATCATCTGCATGCACCAGTTGGCTAACTTTGGGTAAGTGGGGTGCATATACCTGGGTACAGAATGGGATTGGGTTAGAGGCACAACTTAGGGGAGTCAGAGTCTCTCCTAAGACAGAGTGGGTTAGAGGCCCCTCTTAATAAAAGGCAAGGATGCTTGACCAACCTTGGGTTAGAGGCCCGACCTTGGGTTAGGGCCCGACTTAGTTGCTTCTAAGATTTAGGGGGTTAAAGGCTCCTCTCAGTAAAGTCCCTCTCGGCTAAAAGCAGGTTTGGCACCGCAGGCTCTGCTCTTCATATTAACCTGCCTTTTTCTATTGCTGCATGAATCAATTTCTTGGTTGCTGTCTCTGTTTCACTGTCATTTTCAGGAGACTTTATTTAAAGGGTCTTAGGGATTTTAACTTAGTCTTTTCCTATGTGCCTCCCGATTTCCAACTGTCTGCCTGCAAAACATTAAGAGCAAAAAGCATTGATGGCTCCATCTCTAAAAT